TTTTGTAATTTAATATTTGACCAAGCAACTAAATAAACTTGCGAAATTTGTGACTGTGACTCAAGTTGTTTGTTGATTTAGGCTGTTTAGCTGGCCGCTTGTCGTTTGTTAGGCCTCTCAATAAGCAGGTGGCTTTAGTTTCCAGTTTTGCATGACCAAACAAAAGACAACCGTCCTTTCTTCTACCCATACGTGATTCTAGGATACGCTATTCTTCGTGTGCCTATTCAAAGCAAACTTCAATAAGCATTATTTATTTATTTATATACGCGTTGTCCCACTTCGGCAATGCGCATTGGGTTGCCTATCTTAAGTTTTCACAAATGAATTTCATCGCGAATGGAATTGCTGTATTGTCCTGTTGTTGTTGTGCTGTTGTGTATTCTTTGCGAATGGTTCGTATTGTGTGTACGGAAGGCGACGCTTTTCCAGTTTTGCTTTTAGGTGCAAATGTCGTCCGCCTAGCCGACAAAACAGCAGCAGTTATACGCTTACGAATAACGCATAGTTGGCGCGCGGAATTTCATATTCGAGAAGTCGATAAAACAAATTAAAGCGGGCGATAAAATATGAATTATTGCCTGAATTACTTGGGACACACGCAAAACTGTTTTGTAATAGTAAAGGGAATCGTGTACTGTTGTACATATGTTAGTAAAGTGTTATCTTACCTGAAATAAAACACTATAATTCATATTTTTGTGTTTATCTTGTGATTTTTTTGACGAAAATATAAATGTAAAGGTCAAAAAGTTGTCAACACAGTAAACAGAAATGAGGCAACATATTTGGCGAATAATAGATATATTAGATCGAGTTTAACGAAGCGCACGCTCGAGGAGAAGAGAGCGAAATCAAAGTGAAATAAGGTCATCAAAACTCGGAGCTAGCTGGCTCCATAGCGACGATCTTTTCTCATCCCCCCAAACACCAACACCAATACCAAAATACCAACTTCTAACTTTCATATTTTCTTTATATTGTTTTCTTCTTTTTCCATCATCGCGCACGTCCCTCACATTTATTTTCCAACGCCCGAATGAGAGTGTGATTCGCGTTGACCTGCCATTCTGCTTCTGCCACCATTCCGCATTCCGACTAGACGAAAATAATGGGAAAAAGGTGAGAAGGTGGAAAGACCGGACACGAGTTGGAAAAGTATGCCACTAAACTAGCGCTATAACTACCGTCCAGTTGTTTGATATCCGACGCGCAAAGTCTCGACACTGACACAAACTGACGCCGCCTGACGTCTACTGATAGAGGCAGAAAGTTGAAACGGCGAAAGTGAAACAACGCGCATTCAGGCGTCTGATAACAATAAGGAATGAACGGCGAAAAATCACAGCACTCGCACGCATCCAGGCAGGAAGAAAACAAAATATAAATCTGAGAACACCGCCGAGCGAAGAACCAACCAACTCTAGTGTTTTCAGTCGCGAGGAACGACAAGGAAAAAAGAGGCGAAGAAAAATACACCAGATAAAATGACGACGTGCAGCAATTTCGTCAAAAGTTTTTCCGACATCGCACACATGTCTGTGCGGTGTTGCCAGTGACAACATAACACAACATAACCACAAAAAAGTTAAACATTTTATTACTGTATTATTATCAGATGATTAATCGCACACAGGAATGTGTAGTATCATTGGAATTCAAATTATTCAAGTGCTTCTACGTTGACAACATGCTTAACTCAAACATTATGTGTTAGATCCCATGATTTCAGGTTAATGTTGGACACTGAAACTGCATACCACTGGCTGGTTAATAGCATTAGACGCGCGTGACGCCATTACACACACAAGAGGTTCATGCGGTCAACCGCATCCATCGTGTCCCTCAAGTATAACAAGATCCTCAAGTGGAAGGTCTAAATAAAAACATTATAAATAATATTGTATAGGTAAATGTTATTTTGTTTGTTTGTGACACTTTCACGCGTAAACCACTGAAACAATTTTGATAAATTTTTGTGTAGAAATTGTTTTGTGTAAGGAAAAGCAAATAGACTACTTTTTGTTGTGAATATTTAATGAGAAGGGTGTAAAATAAGGGATGAAAGTTAGTATGATGATCCAGTAATAGTTATAACTATTGAGTTTACTCCTAGGCGGCGCTAAAGTACATTTTTTGTATTTTTTATTTATTTTTTAATAAAATGAATAAAAATTCAATTAATTAGTCCGTTTTTGTTAAATCAATGCAAACAAATTCCCTAGCTAAATCTGATATTAAATATTTTGCTTATTTATGTTCACTCTGCGTAAAAATTGTTTTCGGTTGAAACTTTTGATTCGGTAAACTTTCCGGCTTGTCAGTTGAATCAGATGCATATTTTGTTGCCGAGTTGCAGCAAAGCATCCGGTAAACAGGAAAAGCGCACAAGTTTACTTTAGTTTGAAGATGAAAAATTGTTAATCAGTTGCTTCAAACTTACTTTTAGACTTTGCTTCAACAAAATCTACGCTTTAAAAGATCAGAAAACATAATTTTTAAACTCAGCTTAATTTAATTATGTGTGTCACATGTGTAGATATGAAAATTTGAACACTACACATATTATAGGCGGTATTTTCACCCTTAAGAATTTTCCTTCCCTCCATTCTTCTAGTGCTTCAGGCTCACAGCATGGCAGTAAGTAGTTATAAGTGCGCCGGAAGAATCAACCCGGAAGAAAAGACTGTTTCCGTTTTCTTCCCCTTCTACGCTCCTTCCTCTCCTGCTGCGTGCGAAGGCGAACAGTGCTTTTAGGTTTAATTAACTTAATCAGTACTCCTCCCCAACCGCGTCGCGAATATCGTTTTATGCACTGGCTAAGCTTCGAAAAGCATTGAAACACTTGTGTTACCTACTCGTATACTACGCATATATGCTCCTCGAATATTAACACAAAGTCTTTAACGAAAGTGTTGTTTTTGTAAAGTGAAACTTTAATCACGAGATTAAAATGGAACTTTCCAGAGACGTAAAATTAACACCTTTGAAAGTATTTATGTGGTAGTACGCGAGTGTAGTTTCGTCATCATGCATTATGCAATTTCGTGTATTTAAACCGTTTAAATCGCTTTTCAGTGACCGAGTACTTTACGTCATTAAATCTAAAACCACAGCACTCTACACCTAAATGAAAACACATGAAACGCCATCTAAACACACAGTAAACTCACTCACTTTCGAAATACAATGGAATTGGTTTAACAATCAACGTAATGGACTGTTTAATATTTATTTCGAGGCTGTAATCGGTCACCAAAGCGTGAATAAGTGATGTGCACATCAACCAATCGCAATTCTGAAAGTTTTCCGCATTTTATTTTTTTATTTTTTCGATTCGTATAATTGTAAAACATGAAAATTATAGCATATTATTAAATTTTAACAAAGCGATGATTTTATTTTTGAATAATTTAGTTTTGTTTGCTTTTTAATTGAAATAGAAAAATTCATTTGGATGAATTTATTGTAAAATTATTCGTTTGCTGTAAATTGACGAAGTTATGCGAATTTAATTTTGTTTTGTATTTGCACGCGAGTTTTTTATTTGTTCATAATAAATTTCATTCACATTGATTGCACTTGAGTTTCGCGTTCGCCGAAGCTTTGAAAGTAATAAACTGAATTTATTTTGAATGCAATCAAATGGTTTTACTATCAGGTTATGTACACAAGCGTACTAACATGGAGCTGCCGTTTAAATTGCACTATGCCTGACTAGGAATTCAATAAAACTTAAATGTTTTATTGTTTCAGAATTTTGCATTTATTCGAAAAAGTTAATTACGACATAAAACCCACAACCAATCATCTAACAAATAAAAATACAATTACCAGCAATAATATTATGTTAATATGTTAATTCTTTAATTATTAGCACAATTAGTTTTATTTTCTAAGGGTTTCGTTTAACTCGTTTGATAAATTTACATTTTTTCTATGCTAAAGTTTAAAATACAGCGTATATACATGGTGCACGTTGCAAAAAGCGTAATTAATTTCGTTTCGCGCTGTTTACAATTAATTTTCCGCGCTTTCTTTTCCATTCTTGCAGCGTACAGATGAACGGACACTCCCCGACCATCGTCCAATGTTAAAGCTTGATTTATCAGCACATTAACCGATTATAAATAGCGAGAAATTAGTTCGTAGGCGGTTCTTATTCTCAGTCTTGTCTTCCGGAAGTCTTTCCGGCGAGTTGAAACTTTTTTTTGGTTTCAAATCGGTATTGTTACACCTGCTTTATTTACTTAACATGATACAACAACAAATAAGGGAAAACAATTTTAATATTTTGTTGTAAGAGTATTAAATCTTAGCTTTTGGTGGTAAATTTTAATATAGGAACCTAACTGAATTTTGTAACAAAAAGTTGCCTATATGGTTCTCCATGATCCAAGGTATCTTTATGTCATAATTTATCGAAATTGGTTTGAGTGGATTTTGCGTGAAAGCGTCACAAACATACAAGCAAACTCAAATTCATAAAAATAGTAATGATTTGTTGTTTTTTAAATGTTTCCGAAATGAATTATAAATGATCCTCACTTAAAATTGTTCCTGTGTTGTGCTGCAATTGTAGCAAGTCACACTCGAAGTAAAATTACGAATAACACGCCGTGTAATTGGAAATTTATGCAAATGAACCTTTTTTTCGTGCGAAAAGTAGAACAAAAACTATGTCGAGATGTCGACGCAGAGTGCAATAGGATGGGCGAGCAGTGGTGCCAACTGTTTGTCGGTCCGGACCGACCGCGGCCGCCTCCGCCGCCACGCGAACGCGATATATAATTAAGCGGCGATGATTTACTGTTTCGGCGTGTTTAGAATGCCGAGCTTTTCCTCCTTCGGCGCTCGCAATATGTGCCAGCGACACTCGTTTTTCGCACTTATGGGAACACGCCGGCGGGCGTCAACCGGAAGCGAAAATAAGTGATCTATATACATACCGACACTTTTTCCGCTAGTTTTTTTAATGGCTTGAATTAAATTTTAAACTGTTGAGGTTTTTTGATGATTATATTTGTAAAGCGTGTAATCATAAATGTACATTATTCAATTTTTGATGATTTATAACCAATGTGTCACGAGTTTTGCCGGATATATTCTTAACCTCTATGTGATTCATAATTTGAAGGTTAGGATCTTACTAAAATTTCATACTTTACATATTTGACTTCTTGCCCACCATATGGAATATATAAACATTTATGAGACGGATGAACCTAAAATAACATTTTTTTTTAGAAGAATTCCTCAATTATATTCAAAAATAATATTGTTATACCTTTCCAACAGTGTTAGATGAATTGTGATATGCTCTTCCAATGTATAACTTTTCTCCACCTGAAGTTTGACCACCACACACCGCGTTGTGGGGAATATTACCACCACTTGTCCTTACCCATTGAAAACGCCTTTCGCACAACACCTATGAAAATATAAATTACAAAAAATTAATTTTTTTATTTTTTGATTAAAGGCATAAAATACCTCATAATTGCTAACGCAGTGTTCCCTACTTCCATGTGCCACATATGCTTGTTTTCTTGATGGTACCACTTTAGCTGGACACCAGTCACCGCTAATAAAGGCTCTCCCTACGTAAATTGGTGACCCGTCGGAATCAGTTCCGCCCTGGACGGCAGTAAACGGTACAGATGCATTACAGGTGTTAGATTTTGCCCAATAAAATCCAGTATCTACAAAATAATCAAATCTGATTAATCATAAGATTAGATTTTATTACTAATCATGATAAATATTTTGATTGAATTTATTGTAAACTAGGTTTTTCCCGCGATTTCGTCCTGTAGTGTTTAATAAAAATGTAATTCGTTTTTACTCTCTTGTTCTTGACATAGTATGTGTCAATTTTATCAATACGATTCGCAATTTTATTTTAAACAAATTAATTATATAGGGAATTGCTAATAATGCACTGTAGCGCGCCATCTCGGATTCAACTATTTAACTATAACTATGATTGAATCTCAATGCCAACTTTTATCCTTTAGAAAAGGGCAGTCTTTGGGGTTTTCCCGGCAATTATTCGAAGTTTTCTCGCCTTAAAACTCATCCTTGAACTTTAACAAACATTTAAAAAAAGAATTGACCAAATTGATCTAAGCGTTGTGGAGTTATGCGCTTACCAACAGATTTTGTGATTAATTTTTATATTACAGATATACATTTTCATAACTTACCCGACATATCTGAAGGTATTAATAATGCACACACTTTCTTGATAAAATTAAAACCAGTAGCGAACAAGTCGCACGACAGACTAGCGACAAAAGTGATTATTCTATGCAAGTAAACGGCGCTTGTATCAATACAGAATGCTTTTTATGCACAAATTTACAGATAAGATAACATACATGTAACTCATAACACGCGTGACTAGTGAATGGGTTATTGTGGATTAATCATCACTCTCAAACATCATTGCACAAATATGTCACTGTTTATTATTACAAATTAGAATTAATCTCTGGAGAGCTCCAAAAGAAAAAGTCTAGATGAAGTTATCCACAGGGTATACTTGTAACTTTTTGCAGTTGTTGCTATCCGGTAGTAAATTCTGCATACAGCACACCTCGAGTATTGTTATCATTGAGAATTATCCGATTCGTGGAAGCGGGCGCTGCTCCGCCATCTCCAAACAACGTAAACTGCAAGTTTAATTTGCTTTCTAGCCGCGCCCGCGCCAGTCCGTCTCCGTGCCACTTTGGCTAGGCAAAAGTTGTTTGTAACCGGCGTGCGGGAGCTGTAAATTAACCGCTTCCACCCGCGACCGCAAAAAGCTTCTTGGGCAAACGACGCGCGAGCACGAAATCAGATATGCATCAGATAGATTTCCATGCTTTCCATGTTCATGCTCAGACATTTTATAAAGTAAAAGTCTAATGTAGGCAACCATATGAGTATGTATATATGAATTGTAAATAGTGTTGCATACAGTTTATAACTTAATTCTGCACTGGTTGGGTTGGAAATGGGAAAAAAGACGGTAAGAAATCAGAAAATTAAATTTATTAGATGTGAGCGTGCACGACCCGGCTAATGTATAATATATTGTATCAACTTTTGAAATAATAAAGATATTTGCTGGGCGGTGGCAGGCGGAAGGCAGACGGGCAAATCGAATTATTTCGGTTTGATTGCAATTGCGGAACACGCTCCAAGCCCCAGCGACGTGTGCGCGTTTCTTGTTGCGCCAATCAAAAGTTTCTCGGCTCAGCCGGGCTTGGTTGGCGTGGGTGGCGTGCCGTGGCGAGATAAAACTTTGCCGAATGCGCAAAGAAATGCTGGGGATATAAATTATTTCGGGATTTCTAGTTAAAATAATGTACAAAAGTTTTTTGCGCGGCGCGAGCAAAATTGCGAGATTTAACATTCGGGTTTGACGGTGAGTGAAATGATTTCCGAAATTAAATATCTGGATGAGAAGAACTTCAGCGCGCCACGCGAGTTTATTACTTTATTTTGTGATATCTACTGCATTAGGAAATTGGCTTCTGTTTGGATGTTATTGAGAATTAACGGATTTAAAACACTTTTATTCCATTCAAATTCCTACAAAGTTTTGTAATAAATTCCAGGAACCACAATGAAATTCTTCAATTCATTAGAAATTAATTTTTAATGCAATCAAGAAAACGTAATTGTTTGTTACACATTATTTGAAACTATTTGTAAAGTTAACTGTTGGAATGGCGTCGAGAGGTGCAGCCGTGAGCAAAATATTACGTTACATTCTTGAGGCTGTTTACTCAGCCAATGTCTAATCAAAAAATAACAAAAAAAGTAATCAAGCGTAATTCAATTTGTGAGATTAACTTTCGGCCGGTGAGCGAATCAGGCGACACGGGAACGAGCACGGGAACCGAGGAGAAAAATAAAACATCATTGAAAATCAGCAAAAATAACATACCGACGCGCTCAAGGAGGAAGTGCCAATAAAAAGACCATCAAAACTTTCGTTGAAAAATGTGTGAAAAGTTAAAAAAATACGCCACACCTCGAAACAAAAACAAACATTTAATATTACACCTGCTTAAAATGGAAATTAAAATATTGCATACATCGACTTATTACTTAATTTTTATCACACAGTAATAGCATACATTAGCAAAATCAAAAATCAATGACAATTTGATTAAATTAATCAATATTCGTTCTTGATAAGAGGATACTTGTTCTTTGTTATTTGCTTTAATGATACTCGATTGCACATATTTTAGATTTTGATAAAACAGTGAATTACATTTTATAATGCTTAAAACTGACAAGAATAAAATATTTGCAGCTTATTTTTTCTTTCGCCAATCTTCCAAATAATATGTTCCAGAATAAACACACACACTCCAATAAAATTACCAACAATGAGAAGCATAAATGCTCCCTGGAAATGATACATATTTAAAACAACTTTATACTTGTGATTTGTCATAGAATCGCCTAATTGTGCCTTTAAAAGTTTATTCGCTATTTCTGCATATTCGTATTTGGTGTACCAAGTAATCATGCTATTAATATGACCAGTATCTACTAGCTTACTAAGAACGTGATTAATAGGTCTTCTAAGCACGAAATTTTTGGAATAAATAATTCCGTATGGATTTATAAACATTAATTCTTCCATCTTTGTAATCACAAAAATCTTTGATGAACCATCTGATTCAATTAGATTCGGAGATCCTTCGTAATACCTTAGAACGCTTTCGCCAAAAATTGAAGCTGATTTCCCTTCCGCCACTCGATTCAACCAATATTCATCTCCAGCATCTTCAGAGCCATTAACGTATTTAGTGGTAATTGCAATCATTTTTTTATTTTCTGGATAATCGAAAAATTGTCTATAGTAAGGCAATCCTCCAATTATCAAAGAACTTTCTATAATCTCGTCAAAAGTGGAAATTTGATGTTTATATCTGGGATTTGTCAAGGAATTGATCAAAGAACTATTATACAAGCTTCCAACAGTAATAATAAAAAATGAATAAAATATAAATAGCACACGATTAAGAAATTTCTGTGGTAGTTTTGGAAATGACATGGATATAGTGATTTGAAGTGATAGAAGAATTGCTGCTCCAATTTGCTTCAAACTTTCTTCTTGAACTGGATACACACTATTATTGGGTCTTTTAACTGAATACCCAATATTGCTTTCCACCCAAAAGAATGTACTAATTACAAGCATAGTAATAATCAGAGCAATCCAAACAGGCCAAGAAAATATGTATAAAATGAGCGGCCAGTCATCAACACGTTCTGATCTCGGAACAACCCAATACATCTTCTCTGTTAAGTATCGTACCGAAAATTTAAAATATGTTGAGCGTTCTGCGTTGATAGAAATTGCTCCAATTCCTATTTTAAAAGGATCCAGGTTAATCTGTTGAAGAGGTCCGGACCAACTGCCGTTACATAGTTTTCTACCCCAGGACTTGGTATTGTATAAAGTTTTTTCAAATGATATATTTAAACGCTCCCCAATTATTCGAAGAATTGTTAAGTCTATACCTTTGTTTACAGAGATTACATAAGGTGGCTTCAAGCTTAAAACTGTTTTAATTGTGCAATTGAATCCAGATATAGGAACTTTGATATCATACGTTGTTGAATGAAAATTTCCGTTACAGTTCAAAAATATCACTAGATATTGGAATTAACAACTGTGTATTGTATTTTGAAAGATTATAAGCAATTTTCAAAATTTTTTGCGATGTGTTTTTAGTATTGTTTGACAATTGTGTGTAGAACAGCAGAAAATTTGCATTGACATTATACGCCGCCATAGATTCTATTCATTTCAAATTGTTTTTAAAGTGTTCGAGGTCATCGATAAATACTAGGTACATACTTGTTTTTATAGGTGTTCTAATATATTTCTTGTTAATTCTGTCTTTTAGTTTAATTGAATTGCAATGTCCAATGCATTTTTCCAAAGAACCGATAGTATTTTGAACACCGTCTGTGATTATGTAAGCATTTGGAAAAACATCAACATGTCTGTGAAGCATCGTCATTACAAGTCAGAACAGTGATTAGTTTCTTCTTTCCAAATGTTTCGTTTGCTAGATTCCAAATGCATTTGGTTGCCATGTTGATGTCGATAGAACTTGAAGACGACAATATTTTTTTGTAAATCAAATTTGTAGCAACTGTTATGTTTAAAACGCCCAATACAATTAAACATGTTAATAATAAAGTTGTATTTTTTGTTATAGAACACATTTTAGTGAGTTTTGTTTTAGAACTGTGTGCTTTGCGTCTGGAAAACAATACAAGTACAAAATTTTAGTGGGAACGATCGTAAAATCAATTTAACAAATGCTGATCTTGAGCCTACGATAGGAGACATCAATGATAGTAGAAGATATAATTTTACGGTTTTATGAATTAGATGATTCCACTAAAAAAATTGTTTTTTAAAAGCACCAAATTGATAAAGCCGGATGGTAGTTATAGATAGCTTTATATTAAAAATTTTATTTATATTGATGTAATTCTACAAATTGTGAAATTTGACAAAACAGCGTTCTTTGTTAAAAAATCTAAAAATCACTCATAACTTCAATCAGACAGGATCAATGTGAATGAAATTCCTCAATAATGAATACGTTTATTGAACACATTTTGTGAGAACACATTTTGTTTTGACATTTATGGTATAATAATCGCTAGGCACAAGCAGAGTCCGAAGTGCGTGAAATCGAATCGTTATTACAAAGCTCGTCTATTTCAGCTTCTTTAAAATATACCCATAAATATTTTCGGCAATAAATACGCATACACCTAAAATATTTCCAATAAACAATAAAGTAAATGCACTCTGGAGATGATTCATAGTTAAAACTTTATTTTGATGTATATTACTAAAAATTGCCTCTCGTTGAGTTTCTTCTTTTGGACGATATCGGGTGATTAAATATTCTGTCCAAATATTTATAAATCCTGCACGAAGTAAGCTATCGATTATAAAATCAAACTGAGGTTTGAGCACAAAGTTTTTTGAGAAAATGACTGCATATGGGTTTAGATATAATACTTCTTGATCATTCGAAATTACATAAATCTTAGAAGAACCATCTGTATTAGTCAATTCAAATGATTTCTTGAAATACATGGTATGAGCATATCCTATAATTGTGATTGTATCACCATTGGCAACACGTTGCATCCAATACTTATTTCCAACAGTATCTTCCGGAAAATACTCGTATTTGTTGTAAATTCGTTTTTCGGCGATGAGCATTTTTTTAAAGTCGCGCAGACCACCAATATTTAAAGGACTTTCTAGAATTTCCTCATGAGTAGATATCTGATGTTCAAATTGTGA